GATTGACACGGTGGCTGCGAAGATGGGCTCAAGCATAGCAGGGATTTTGGGGCTGGTGCGGGATCGGGCAGTGTTTCGTTCTGCTGTCCATGGGGTCGCTATGAGTCGGAAACGACTGGACGGCATTTAACAACAACAACAACAACAACGTCAGCGCAAATGGTTACATTAAATTTAACTCCTTTTTAATCAGAAGATAGCATAAATGAACAAAAAGACAGTTATAAATTGTAAGTGATGTGCAACGAGTAACCTACTATATAGCAATACTAAGTTACATAAACAACTCCAGTGAATAAATAAGGAAAAAGACAATCTTGAATATAAATGTGCAGAAGAAAAATAAAAGGTAAATACAAATATGAAGAGCAAATTAAGCTCATTAGTAATGATGGAAATGGAATTAAAACTACAAAGACATAACATTATGTATATTCACTATAGGAGCTGTGGTGGTGCAGTGGTTAAAAGCATTTGGCTGCTAACAAAAAGGTCCATGGTTCAAGCTCACGAGGAACTTTGAGGTAGAAGTATGAAAATATGAAGCAGTCTGCTTCCATGAACATTTACAGCATTGGGCACCCTATGGCGCAGTTCTACCCTGTCCTGTAGGGTTGCTATGAGTTAGAATTGACTCGATGGCAGTGGGTTTGCATATATATGTATATAAATGTGTGTATATATATATATATATATATATTTATATATATATATATATTTATATACTTGCATATATATTCCGAGAGACATATATGTACACATATGCACATATACATATATACATACACACCCACATATAGATAAATAGATAGATAGATATTCACTATACTTCTAAATATTGAGTCCAAACAAATTAAGCACTGAAGAGGATGTGGATCAACTGAAATTCAGTGATACTGCCTCAGAAACCCAAGGAGGGGTTGCTATGAGTTGGGTCTGACTTGGTGGCACTTAACAACAGCAAGAACAACAATAACATTGGTAAGCTCTAGTATCCAGAATTTCTACTTCTGTGTCTATGGATAGTTAAGAGTTTATAAATACATTCATGGCAGACCTCACTTTAATGACAACAAAATAAAACACACACAGACACACACACAAACTAACTGTAGGCCAACAGGACAATGGGTAAATAAATTGTAGTATAATCACACAGTGAAATATTACATAATAAATGGAAGCAAACAGACAAATCTAGGCCCACACAAAGCAACATAGCTGAATCTTAGGAATATAACAGTAAGAGAAAATGCAAATTGCAGAAGACTATGATAGAACAATAGTTTATAAGGCTCAAAATAAAAATAATTGGTACATTTTTAAGAACATGTTGATATGAATAAAACTTAAAAAGAATGAAATAAAGTGAATGACAAACACAAAAATTTAGGCTGCTTTTCATCTTTGGGGCAGGCCCAACAATGGGACATGGGAAGAGCATGCTGATAGACGAATAGCTAGTGATGTTGTTGTAATTCTTGATTTCAGTTGTGTTATGGACATTTACTTTATAAATTTGCTTCATAACTCACATGGAAGTTAACTGTTGTTTTTAAGTACCAAGCACTATATTAAAAGATTACAAAATGAAAAACATATGATTCTTAACAAAAATTTAAAAGTATAGGCCTTTTTGCAGGTAAAGTAGATGGTCATTTTGATGGTATGGGTTGCTATGATTTATAATAGACCATTTTCCCAAATTGCTTATAGAATTCTAAAATTCTTTTCAGCCCCTGATCTCTGGGAGGATAGGTAGCCTGTATATATCCTGCAGGAAAATTCTTCATTGTTTCCTACAAAAGAGGAGTCTGAGCTTAGGTTATGCTAGAGAGAGGGGGGCACTGCAGGCAAGTACCAAAGGGGGACTGCAAGTTCTCCGTTCTTTTGCTCACTTCTCGATTTCTTGGGAGAGTGGTGATTTGGAACATGATTATGACTCACTGCAAATGTATAGCATTCATATATCCTAGGTACTTTCTATTGATTCCTTAACAATTTCCATTTCATGTGAGTCTTATGGACTCATTAAAAATAACCTACAAAATTTCCATAGTGAAGGTCATATGATAAATCAGAGGCAGGACTTTGATTCTATCACAAAATTAAGAATTTCTGTCTACTTACTGAGATATTATGAATTATGAGCTTAAAATATTCTAAAATGAAATGACAAGACATCACACAGAAGGATAAATGCCAATGGAACAACATAATAAATCTATGTTTTAAGTTATGAAAACAATCACAATTATCTTTGTTGAGCAGTGAAGCATCTTTTTAATTTTGCCTAGGGATTATCTGTGGTGTACTCATATTTGCATTAAAATAAAATGTAATGAGAATCAACATGCTTACTGTGTTATTAGAGTTCCCGTTTAAATGCAAACCACTATCAAACAGAGGTGAAGAAGCCCCGCTGCTATGATCGCTGGACGGCCCAGGGGATCCTGAAAACAAAATGAGAGACAGTCATTCTAAGCTGCAGCTCAACAATAAGTCACATTGTGATCATAAAATGGTTTAAATTCTACCTAAACATTAGGAGGTCACCAAGGATAAAATGCCTAGTCCACTCTCACAGATGTTGACGCTCCAGTAGGTAAGGCATTTGGGTGATAACCAGAAGGTTAGCAGTTCAAATCCACCAGCTGCTCTGTGGGAGGAAGATGAGGAATCTTCTTCACTAAAAATTTACAGCCTTGGAAACCCAATGGGGGTTGTTATGAATCGGAATCAACTTGATAGGAGAGATTTTTTTTTTTTGGGGGGGGGGTCATCAATCTGTTGTCATGTGACCACACAGATTATCTGACTTTAAATAGAAAAGTGGGCAGGGGAAAGGGGCAATTGGACTGGCTCATCTCAGAGTGAGAGCTGCTGGCAGTATCCAGAGAGATAGCAGTGTGAAGGAGAATACTTTAGTGTAAGCAATTAGATTTTGTCCCATTAAACCAAAAACCCAAACTCACTGCCATCTAGTTGATTCTGACTCAAAGCAACCTCTTTGGGTTTCCAAGGTGGTAAATCCTTATGGAAGTAGATTGCCCAGTCTTCCTTCCACAGAGTGGCTGGTTGGGTTTGAACCATCAGCCTTTGGGTTAGCAGCCAAATGCCTTAAGCACTATGCCACCTGAGCTCCTTTTTGTCCCATTAAAATAATAAATAAACAAATAAATAAATAAACACTTCACTCACTGCTATCGAGTTGGATCCAACTCATAGCAACCCCTCCTTGGGTTTCTGAGGCAGTATCACTATGGAAGATTGCTCAATCTTCCTTCAAGGAGTGGCTGGTGGGTTTCAACCGCCAGCCTTCTGGAACTTTAAATATTTGCATTAAGTATGCTTGGTGGTGCAATGATTAGCACTCAGTTGTTAACTGGAAAGTTGGCAGTGTGACCTATGCAATGGCTCTGTGGGGAAAAGAGTTGATGATCTGTTTCTGTAAAGATTAACCTGTTACCCCTGAGTTGATTCTGATTCATAGAGACACTACGGAACAGAGAAGAACTTCCTCATAGGGTTTCCAAGGTGATAATCTTTATAAAACTAGACTGCCATATTTTTCTCCAGTGGGTCGGCTGGTGTATTCGAAGAACCAGCTTTACAGTTAGCAGCCAAGAACTTTAACTACTGCACCAGTTGTGCTTGTTCCATAAAGCTTATAGTCTAATGAATCCTATGGAGCAAATGTACTCTGTCATATAGGGTAGAAAAGAGTTGGAAATGACTCCACGCCATACACCAAAATACAATCATTGCTAGTATAAAATTTTCTAAAAATAAAAATAAAATTGGATGAGTAGAGAAGAGCAAATCCAGAAAAAGATAGTTTAGAATGAAGTTAAATTAAAAATATGTATTATATGAAATATGTACTATATTTTTTCTTTCCAAGTTTTTTGCAAGTGTTATGTAATTGTAATACATCTGTCTAATCAAATAGCATAGTGGTGATTTTGCATATTTTCTAATTTCAGCATCTTATTTTTATTGCTATACATGACTGCTAGAGCAAAGTTTAGCTATTGATCTATTTGAAAACATTATGTATTTGCAATTTCTACCACTAGAAGAAGTATTGCCTGACATTCTAAATATTATTATTTACTTTCTCATTTTCAATTTTTACTTATTTTGTCTTATTATCTTTGCTCAGCAAATTGCTTTAATGAAAAATATAAAGATAAAATGTAAGTTTGTGGACAGTAATATTTTAAAAAGAAACAAAGCTATCAATTTAGCTGGGAGCAGAAAGATGGGGACTGAGTGCATTGAATTCTACCCTTAACAAGCTATAAAATGACTCTCTGATATTAGAAAATCCATCTAACTTTTTGGGCTACAGTTTTCATTTCTACCAACATAGAGTTTGGTCTACATAATTTCCATAATATTCCTTTGCAGTAGACAGAGCGCCCACTGATTAGACTCAACATTTAGTAATGTAGGCATTTGTTCCCAGATTTGCTTCTTTCTCATTATTTCTCTGTGAAGAATTTTGCCTCCAGCTCTCTCTCTACCATGACTCTGGAAGTACAACTCTGAATTATTTCTATGGGTTGGTGATAGTGAGTTATATTTATCTATTCTACTTTCCCAGTGTGATAAATCAGTGTTCAACCATTTAATGTAATTAATGTAGTTGTTGTTGTTATGTGCTATCGAGTTGGCCCCCACTCATAGTGACACCTCCTTGGGTTTCTGAGGCAGTATCACTATGGAAGTAGATTGCCCAACCTTCCTTCCAAGGAGTGGCTGGTGGGTTTGAACTGCCAGCCTTCTGGTTAACAGTCAAGTGCCTTAGGCACTATGCTACCAGAGCTCCTAATTACTGTAGAGGTAAACCGAAAAGGATGAGTAGCAGTAAGTATATTTAGTACCTATTATATGTTAGGGACTATGCTAGACAGATTTAATACTAAATAGTCACTATCCTCTTACAAAATAAGTATTACTAACCCTGCTTAAGAGATGAAGAGCTTAAAGTCTTGGGTCAAGAAACTTGCCCAAGCTCTCTCATAACCAGTAAGTGGAATTTTTTATGAGTAGACTTCTAATTTGGATAAGCCACAGAGGAAAGGCTCATATATGTGTGTGTGTGTTATCTTCAAAAATACATTAATCCATTAAAATGCTGTACTAAGGAACAACAGGCATTCAAAATATGAAGTCACATCAGGGCATAAGAATTCAGTGGTTGTAAACTCACGAGGTAGATTCAAATGATCTGTATTAGTCCAGGCTGTGAAATAAAATAATAATAAAACAAACAAACAAATTCACTGCCATTGAGTCAATTCCAATTCCAATGAGTGACCCTCTTTGTGTTTCTGAGCCTGAAAATCTATACATAAGAAAACTGCCCCATCTTTTTTCAAGGGAGCAGCTGGTGGGTTTGAACCACTGACTTTCTGGTTAGTAGCCAAATGCCCTAACCACTATACCACCAGAGTCCTTGCTAACTTTGCAAAGCTAGGCAAGTTACCTATCACTACAATCTTGAATTTCCACAATAGCACACTAGTAATTAAGGCTAACTCAAAGAATGATTGTGATGACTAAGAAGAACAACCTATAGAGAGCTTAATAAAGTATCTAACACCTATTAATTATTTTATGAATTTTTAAAACATAGTCAAATTTATTTCAAGCAGTCATTGTTTCCATTTGCCCAGAAAAGCCCAGAAGAAGTTGCACTTTGATCCAGACTCAAACACAACCCTTATCTTCAAGTATTGCTTGAACTGGAAAGAAAGGAAGACATGGAAAAGTAATCACAAAGGACATAAGCAGTAATGGTGAGAAGAGAAAGATCAGCAGTAAAAAATATGGGAGATGTTCCAAGTGATTTCACTGGTCCTATGGGGAGCTCTTGGGAGCGCTAGTGGTTTAGTGCCTAAGGCACTTGACTGCTAACCAGAAGGCTGGTGGTTCAACCCACCAGCCTCTCCACAAAAGGAAGGTTGGGCAATATACTTCCATAGAGATATTGCCTTGGACACTAAAGGGGGGGTTGCTATGGGTCACAATTGACTGGATAGCAGTGAGTTTGTTTTTTTTGGTTTAAGGTCTCCTTGAATCAGAATTGACTCGAAGGCAACCAAAAAAGAGCATAAGACACCAGCAATTGCCACAGGAAGTGGGGACAGTAGTGGTATCTGTTAATTGTAAAGAAATAATCAAAATTAAAAATGAGATTTTTTTTACCCCTGAAAGTGATATGTAACTAAGATTCTTCTTCAGTGGCTCCAACACATACCTACTTTTTGGGTCAAACTGGTTACCTAATTCACCCAATTAGCAATCTGAGGGAGAAGCAAGTGACCCTATCTCCCTTATTATTAATATGGAGGACAGATTGGGCCTCTTAATGGTTAATTATACATCCCAGTACAATCCTAATGGCTTATTTGGGATATAAAGTCTTTTTTTTTTTTTTTTAATATACAAAGCCAACTTTAATCCTTAAATAGCCAACAATGACACAACAAAAATAAAACAACCCACTGATAAAGAGTTAATTCCAACTCATAAGACACTATAGGACCGAGAACTGGCCAATAGGGTTCCCAAGTCTGTAAATCTTTTTTATTTTTTTTATTTATTATGATTTGGGTGAAGATTTACAGAGCAAATTCACTTTCCGTACAGCAGTTCACATATACTTTGTCTCATGTCATTGACCACAGTTTACCACAATGCAACTGCTCCCCTCCCACTTCCTCCCCATAGTTACCTCTTCCCACTGACCATCCCTCCATACTGTCCTGTGCCCTGAGCTGTCTCCCTGTGCA